ATTTCAATCTCCTGTCCGGCGAGGCCAAGCTCTGATTGATGTTGTCCTTCGGCCCACTCGCTGCTCGCTGCCGTCATTAGACGATGACCTACGTAGCACGAACGGGCCTGACGAATAACGAAAACAAGGCGTCTTCGTTCTACATGCGAGCTCTCTTCTGGGTGTTTCCCGGGATTCTCTCGATCGGCAAGAAGGGCGAATGATCCGCAAACGAAGGACGATTGGGTACGATCGCTCGCAATATGTGGCAGGACGTCAAGCACGGCGACTCTTCTGCAGAGAAGACGCTGTTATCTATGATGTGTGAGTGCTGTTCGTGTGACTTATTTCTGGTGTCTGATTCACTTGCGTAGTGAAGGCCCTGGGGCGATGCTGGAAGAGGAAGAAATTGTTGCTCAGATGCGGCTATCCTTTCGGCTGGGGTTTTGTTTCTGTCGTGTATATCGAGCCGTACTCACCCAACTTGAATAGTACGAAACCGTCTCGCCCACAGTCGCTGCAAGTTTCTCCTGTCACTGATCTCTTCTGCGGCTCATTTTTCGTAGTGGGTCCTCTATGAGCTGGCCATCAACACCAAGTTCAGGACGATCTGCGAATTGAGTTGTCATCCCCAGGGGACATTGACCAACATTCCCTTCTCGACTTCATCGTCCTCGAAGCACTAAGATTGCACCCTCCCATCCTCGAGAATCATCACCAGGTGTGCAATCATCCGCATGGGCTCATCTCATGTGCTGATCAGTCGCCAGGCTTCCGAAACCATTGCAGTGCCTTTATCTGAATCGCTTCCTGAAACCTCTTCCTCTGTCCTTGTCATTCCGAAAGGCACAATCCTCTTCATCCCTGTGAATGTCATGCAGACCGACCCTGAAATTTGGGGAGAAGACGCACACCTGTTTCGCCCGTACCGATTCCAGGATCGAGCCATGGAGCGCCAACTTTTTGTATTTAGCGAGGGCATGTTATTTTCTTCGCATCAAGCAGAGCGACATCACTCATCATCAGAATCTCAGACCTCGCGCTTGCATCGGCAAACGTTTCGCTTTGACTGAAATCAAAGTGAGGAATGTCTGCAGGTTATAGCACTCTGATGACGAACGCTTTCCAGGTTCTGACTGCCACCCTCATCCGCCAGTTTTCCTTCAGGTGTGCACACGAAATAGAACCGTTCCAGAGTTTTGTCATTCGACCGAGAGTCAAAGGGCAGGGCCCAAGCTCGCTTCCGCTCCTCGTTCGTCGCCTGTAGATCTCGATGGTGTAGATGTTTACCGGCCAACCACACGTGATATGGGTCGAAGATCAAGACTTGAAATAGAACGATTTCGGAATGCGTATTGTTTATATGAGGTCTTTTTTTTAGGGGGGGGGGCGCGCCAACAACCACTTAATTTGTTACATATCGCGTCGCGTTCTTTCTGCTACGGTCACGTGTCCGTGATGTCAATTGACGGCTTCTGCCAATCATTGCTAAGTCACCGATGGAAGCTCGCAAGTTGGCCTCGACCAGTGGTCACCTGTGGTCACTGTGTACTTCAGTCCATCAACAGAGTCAACCCGGGGCAGTCCAGAATTCAGGCTGTTCATGAGACAACAGCTTACCAATGTTACCAAGTGGCAAGGGTCGTCGTTGTTCTGGTGTGTCACAAGTGCGATCATCACTACATGATCTTCGCTTGAGTAAGTTGTTTCATCAAGATGTGTTGGGCATCGGCGTCGTCGGCCTCTTGCCTTCCACCACTCGTCTGTTTCGTTCGTTCTCTTCTTTCTACGGGCGCTGGACCGCACGGAAGTCGGGGACTTCCGTTGCTGTCGCCATTCTCATTATGCTCTCTTCGTTGCTGGCCCCACTTTTGTTTTTGCTCTATTCTTCTCTCACCCAGGCGGTTCTTGTGAATGTCACGATTGACGACACCAACGGAGACCCGCATAGTGGGGCGCAGATTATCTACGACCCGCCTGCGGCCTGGTTGGATGCCCAAGCGTGCAAATGCATCAACAAGAAGCATGGCGGACTGCAGTCTTCGAAGCTGGTCGGCCAGTCCCTGCACAAGTCTGTGGTACGCCCACAGTCTACTTCACACGCGTTTTATCTTCACATCGGTCTGTTTATTACAGTTTTCGACTGACCCGGCAATCGCTATCTTTCCTAACCAAGCCTTGACTGCGTCTGTAACCTTCAATGGCTCGGCGGTCTATGTGAACTGTGTCCTCGACCGCGACGCTTCAGGCAGATCAGACATGACGTTCTCCATCGATGGAGCTGTAGCTGACACGTTCAAAGCCGAACCCGCTGACTCTGCGGGCTTTGACTACAACTCCATTGTCTTCTCCGCAACGAATCTCGTTCCCGGGTTCCATGTGCTGACGATGCAGAACGGGCATGCCGGTGGACCAGAGGCGATAATGATATTGGACTCGGTGATATATTCGTGCGTGACATTCTGAGTGTCGCTTGCCCTTCATTCGTGTACTGAATATAACCAGATTCGATAATGGTCTCGCTGGCATCGACGAAAGCTCATCATCTCCGCTGTTGCCCTCGTCAGCCCCCTCGTCTCCATCATCGCAATCCGCGCTGTCCCCGAATCTTCCCAGGACACATGTTGGGGCGATCGTCACCGCCTTGGTTGTCATCCTCATCCTGATCTCACTCGGAACCGTCGCGTTCATTTTGCATCGCCGCCGCCGCCGCCGGCGTGCCATATACGCTCCCTACATGCCCAAAGGCGCGGTGCGGGCGTTCCCCATGCCAACCTTTGCCGGCTCGACCCTGGTCTCAGCGCGACCACGGCACCAGCCAGCTGTACCCGGGGACAACAGCCGACCACAGTCTGAAGCTGACTTGCGTATTCAGTCCTGGGCGGAACAGACGGCGGCCTTGGCCCCGCTGCCCCCAGTCTACGCAAGGGGCAAGGGCTGGACTGGTAGTCGGGATCAGAAACACCCATCCGGACCGCATTCGTCTTATTGAGCACATCGTCTCCGCTCACGCCGGACTGCAGCGCTCAAAGCCATGGGAGAGAACGCGCTCTGCATGGTGAATACCAATACTACTCTTAAGTACATTACACTCAACAGATTCGTAATCTCCAACATGTCAGCGTCATGCAGTCCCCATTTGACCTTGAGAATGTTAGTGCAACGCGCCTAGCGCTCCGGCCACTACTGTCCAGAACATGTCATCAAGGCGTATGCGATCTAGCCTTCCCTTTTGAGACACTGGACTGGCGCTAGACGGGCGCTGCAGACGGGAATCTTGACCATTACTTACATAAGCAGATTTTTTCGAAATGGAAATCGTCCGATTGATGGAGTAAAAGTCGTTTGTCGGTTGCCCAAGGTTCACCTCCTTCCACCATGTCTTCCATCCTCAAAGCCTCCTCAGCTGCCATCCCTTCTTTCACGTCCAACCCTCTCCATGCCCTTGCTTCATCGTCTCCTTCCAGTTCTATCAAATGGCTGTATACCACCGGCGCCATCCTCTTCGCCCTGCTCGCTCTCGAACAGGGCATCTATCGGGCTAAGAAGCGACATCTCCCCGGCGCGAAGTGGACTATCCCCCTCATCGGCAAATTCGCCGACTCCCTGAAACCCACCGTCGAGAACTACAAGAAGCAATGGGACTCGGGTGACCTGAGCGCCGTCAGTGTATTTAATATGTGAGTGCCTCTCCCTCAACGCGCCATGAACGTGTGAGCTCATTCGAATTCCAGTTTCATTGTCATGGCCTCTTCCAACGACTATGCCCGCAAAATCCTCCACTCTCCCACGTACGCTGAGCCGTGCCTGGTCAACTCGGCAAAGTCTGTATTGTTACCAGAGAACTGGTATGCCATCGATCTGTCGCCGCGCAGTGTCTCGCCTCACAATGCTGCAGGGTATTCTTGACCGGGAAGGAGCATGTCGATTACCGACGCGGGTTGAACAACCTGTTCACGAGAAAGGCCCTAGGGTATGCGATGCTGCTGCATCTTTCTGTTATCTCCTTCCTTATTCACCTCTGTCCAGATTATATGTCGGCATCCAGGATGTGATTACTCGCAAACACCTCAAGGAATGGCGCCAGGATTTCGGAAAGTCCGCACAACCGCTTATGATGCCCGCGCGATGGCTCAACATGGATACCTCCCTGCGCGTCTTCTGCGGCAGCTACATCCCCGATGATGCGGCTAAGGAGATCAGCGACAAGTACTGGTTCATTACACAGGCTCTCGAGCTAGTCAACTTCCCCCTGGCACTTCCCGGAACGAAGATCTACAAGGCCATCCAGGCGCGCAAGGTCGCTTTGGGCTGGCTCGAATTCGCGTCCAAGAGGAGTAAGGAAGAGATGGCTGGCGGCGGGGAGCCGACTTGCATGCTTGATTCGTGGAACCAACTCCTCAACGACCCCGGATACAAAGGCCGCCGGGATTTCAGCGACCACGAGATGGGGATGGTCCTCATGTCCTTCTTGTTCGCGTCGCAGGACGCCATGTCCAGCGGGCTCATCTACGCGTTCCAGCATCTGGTCGACCGACCGGACATCCTCACCAAGGTGCGCGAGGAGCAGGTCCGGGTGCGCAAGGGGGACTACGACCAGCAGCTTACGCTGGAGCTCATGGACGAGATGACGTACCTGCAAGCCTTCGTCAAGGAGAGTCTCCGCGTGAAGCCGCCCGTCGTGATGGTGCCCTATAAATCGACCAAGGCGTTCCCCATCTCCGACGACTACACTGTGCCCTCCGGCAGCATGCTGATCCCGTCCTTCTACAACTCTCTCCACGACGCCACCGTATACCCTGAACCCGACACGTTGATGCCCGAGCGCTGGCTCGACCCCGAGAACGCGGCGAACAAGAACCCGAAGAACTACATGGTGTGGGGTGCGGGCCCGCACAAGTGCATCGGCTTGGAGTACGCCATGATGAACATCGCCCTCGTCGTCGCTGTCGCTGCGATGCAGTTCGACTGGAAGCACGAGATCACACCGGATTCATACAACATCGAGTGCGTCCTGATGTTACTACTAATCCTGACCGTCATCTCATCCTGCGCAGTATCATTGCTACCCTTTTCCCTCGGGACGGCTGCCGGATGCAGTTCACTCCGCGCGAGAACTAATGAGTGCACATACTGTGATTGCCTTAGAGTAGAGGGGTCGGCCCATATTATTAACCCGTATTTGCTGGAATTGGCTAATGTTACATTCGAACTCAATTCGGCCCGATGAATTGGTACAAAATTCTACGAACGAGCCCCGAGAGATGTACGGGATCGTTCTGGTATATGCTCTGGACCGGTTACGTGACAAAATCGCACAGAAACGCATGGATGGGAAACGCACCATGACCATCGCCATGCCCATTCCGGTCAACACGCTCTCGCCCCAGTTACCAGTCCGGAACACAAGTCCCCGGCCCCGCGCTGCAACCCACGCACTCTCAAGCCCCTTCGGCAGAACGTACATAGCCAGCTCAGCCCGGCGACGTTCGTCTTCGATCAACAGCGCCAAGCCAGACAAGAATCCGAGCACCCAGTGCACGGGCTTCGAGATGAGCAGGTTGGCAAGCGCAGCAGGAATCAGCCGGCGGAGGGCTGGGAGCGGGAGATCTTCTCCCACAGCTTGGTGCGCAGGCAGTTGTTAGCTGTATCCCCGAATTGTAAGAGTCCAGCGGGAATATGATGGTAGCCACCGACCTTGGTAGATAACGACAAATACACCCAAGAACGCGGAACTACGGAGACTGCCCGCACCTGCACGGACCAGAACTCGGCCTGGATCCGCGCGGAACATCTTCCACCGGAAAAGGATCGCCGGCAGGAAATGGAGCGCAGAGTAGATGGGCAACATCCAGCGGAAGACGTCCACGAAACGGTCCAGGGGGACAGTCCAACAGCTGGAAACGGCAGGGTGTATCGTAGCACATGGGGCATACAGCGGGAAAGGTCGTCCTGCCATCACATCGTCGCGCAACTGCATCAAGAGACTGAGATTTTTGTGGGTTGTGTCACGCTGAGCGATGATCTTGTCGAGTGCAGCTAGATCCATTTCTCCGTTGCGCACGGCGGCGCGGTTGATCTGCACACCTGCGCGGGGAACTTTGCTCGCAGTGTGGATCCTGTCGAGGGCATCAAGCACAAACTCGGGCATCACACGGAACGCTCACCAATTGATGTACGAATGCGGAAGCGTGTCGGGACGCATGGTGAAGGAGTACATAATCTGTCCGCAGGCAAGCGCGAAAACGATGACGCTGCCGAACGGAATCTTGAAGTGGTGCCGCTCGGAGTATGAATTGTACGTGCCCTGCATACCGCGGACGAACAATTGCTGCGCAATGATCACCCTTCTGCCCCGCTTTTCCCACAGTATGGCAAGACTGGCAGAGATGGCACCCGCAAGAGCAGCATGCCAACGGCGCGTGCGTTTTCTGACAAGCACCATCTGCGCGTGAGCACTCGCAGAGAGACGTGCTGAGCGCTGTCGGTGACGAGGTGCGGCGGAGCCTGGAGCGGGAAGTTCGATCTCCTCGTCTTCTTCTTCATCATCGTCTCCGAAGGCCGACGGTTCTCGGGGTTTGATCGCAGGCAGGAGGATGGGAAGAGCGTTCAATAGGAATTTGTACAACCCAGCGAACGTGCCTTGCGTGATTGTTTAGTGCCTGGTGCATGACTGGGTAGAGAGGAGATCGTACCCAGCATGGCTGCAAACCGTAGCGAGTCCGCACCAAATACGGCATGCCGGATGAGGGTGAGCCGGTCGTCCCTATGGGAGGGTCATTATGGAGGTACTCGAATGCACTGCGCCGCGCCCACCTTGGAACCTTCCGTATCCTGATCAAAGCCAGAACCAAGTTGAGCGACGCGCGAATGTTGAATGCCAGCGTCGCTGCCCCTGGCGATGCAAATCCCAGTCAGTAACACCGCTTCTACCACTCGCAGTTCCAACACGGAAGAAGACGACGCACTGAACCCCCCTGTCGACGCATGCTCCACGCAGTCCCGCAACGTCTTGAGCTGCACCACAGGCTGGCCTTTATCCCTCCAGATCACCTTCCGCGCACCCTTCAGGCGCTCTTGGTAGTTGGCCAGCGCGACGAGGTTCTCGAATGACTCCATAGCTCGGCGGGGCATGGGGCGATGCGGCGCGAGCTCGAGGAAATCCTCTGGCTCAGGACTGATGGGACAGCTGGTGGGATAACCGTAAGGTGCGCCCCCTTGGGCCTCCATGTCTTCCTTTTCAGAATCAGTGTCCATGGGATGATGGAAAAGTTTGGGGTAGCATCCGGGGGGACTGGCCGCTAGAGTCCACGTGAGAAAATTCGAGTACAATCACATGGCCGTACACTTCATCGGCAACTTCGGTGACAACTGCGAGATCATTCTACTTATGGCTTCGGCATCTGACAGCGCTCAGTTCACATGCTAGAACCGGCTCATGTGGTTCTTTGCGATGTGCGCGATCCGGTAGCTGCGTGTCTCGAAGAGAATTTTGTGCGTCCCATGTGGGAACCGCCAGCAAAACCAGAGCTGCATCCAATACTACCCGAATTTTGTATCTTGGGGACACACCGTCGCGGTCCCCAATTGAACAACAGATGGAACTCTCAACTTCCTCTGGTCATCTTTGTCACTGTCAGGCTGGGATACTGGTGGCCCATGGTACTCTCCACGCCTTTCTGGATCTTGTTTCGACAGCCATGTCACTTTCAACCCTACGTTGTGTCAGTTCTTGTCAAAATCTAGGTTTTCGGGACATGCTCAGGCTGACTTGAAAGCGGGCCGTGCGATGGATGCACGTGATGTGACACGACGCGCTTTCATTCACAGTCACAACTTGTCGCCCACCACCAAATACCTACCAGAAATCTAGAGACCGCGGCGCCTCTGGATGCATTGATGACGTTGTTATGAACCGACTACGGAAACCATCGTCTCCCTCAAATGCCGCATCCTCGTCTTCCTCGGACGTCGTGCGAACGTCCAACACACTCAAACTGGCGCTGGCTCAAAACCAGCGGGCTTACAGTGACCTTGGACCTGCTCAAGGATTCGGATACGAAGACGGAGGGAGCCCTCCACGACCTCGTTCTGGGGTCGAGCAATACTGGGCTGCTCGAGCCCTCTCCGCAGAGGTCCTGCTGGCCGCACGCTCGGAGCATCACACGGAGCTGCGCAGAGTGACCGACGAAGGGGAACTGCGGCGTCTCGTGCGTCCATGAAACTTGTGGTAGATTTCTCAATGTCATACCGATCTAAAACCACTAGAAAGATGCCGCTTCACACGAGGCACGCCATGCTCGACTTGAGCGAATTCTTGTGAGCTGGCGCGTACATTCACTTCCGCCGGGATTCACCCCGCTTTGATAGTTCGCCCTTGTCCTTGCGCTTCTATTCATCGTCGCGTTCCTCCTGCACCAACTAGCACGACTATCGCACTCTCCACCCAATATGTCTCGTGGGTGGGGCACCCATTTCACGATTCCTGTTCTGTCACCTTTCACGTCCGTCGTGAGTAAATCTGTGTCACTGTTAGCTGGCTAGTTTCTGAAAGCAAGATCAGGTCGAACATGAGACTTCTGTCATTGGGACCAAGACGGTCGCTGTGGGTATAATCGTAGTTGCAGTCCTTGCGTACTTTGCTTTCAGGCACTGGATGGTGCTACATAGATCATGACGACTACTCAGACGTGAGCCAAAAGTCTCGAGTTACACTCGCAAGTGGATCAACTCGGACAAGTTGTTAAAGACAGTCTGTTTTACAATAAAAGGGACACTAATCACGTCTGCGCCTTGCCGGGGAACGAGAGCGTGAGTCTCTGCCACCCCTCGTTGACCTCCCGCCCCGGCCTCTGTCACCCCAACCATTCCCTCTGTAGGGCGGCGAATCTCTCCCTCGTCGCGGCGGAGGAACACGCCTGTCTGAGTCCTGGTCGCGTTCTCGATCAGCACCAGCCCGGCCACCTCCCCGTCCTCCACCACGGGCAGGGGGATTAGAGTCCCCGCGCCAATGTCCGCCTCCACGGCCGGCGCCCGGCCCTCCTCGCTCAGCAGCTATACCCAGCCCGCCGCCCCAACCTCCATCCCCTTTGCCGGTCTTCCAAGCCATGTTCGTCGGCGCCGCGCCCTTAATGTTCAGCTCTGTCGGCAGTGTCACGCTTTTTGGAAGCAGGACAGCGACGAGTAGGAAGTCTCCGGGCACGAAGCGCATATCTTCGAGCGACCGATCTTCCCGTTCGCGGTCCCGGTCGCCGGATTGAGGCCCGGGCTGCGTCTCGAACGAATCGTCCAAAAGGCGCGGTGCGGTCGAGTCGATCGTGCCTGGTTCGCCGAGGATGTCGCGCGAGTACACGATGCCCAACTCTTTGGAGGCGAAGCGCCCCCGGCTCCCCTGCTCGATGTACACCGTCCGGAATGAGAATCGCGCGAGAGGGTGGCGGTATTCAGCGACGTGCGGTGCCGTGTTGCGCAGGGTGGTGAGGATCTCCCGCAGATTCGCGTCTTTCCTGAGAAGCAAATGAGTGTCGGGCTGGCACAGTGTCTCGTGTATTGCGCACCACGTATACAGCTGCTGCTCGTCAGTCGTTGGAAGTGTGCCATCCTCGAACAAAGTGAGTCGGTGGAAACCTCCAATTTTTATGAAGGTTCGGATGAGAAATGGAGCAGTCTGGCAGCGGTCAGAAGATTGTTTCAGAATCAAGGAGAAGAGAAATACTTTTTCTCTTGAGAGGAGCGGGCTATCCGACTCGACGTCCATGATGTGCGAAGGAGAGGTGGTCTGCGGCTGTGCTGAGTTGATGGGTTCAGTTGAGATTCTCGATAGTGGTGAAAGTGGGGTGAAAGTCAGTGAAATTTCGATATCTAAAAAGGAGAGACGAGTTTCACACAGCTAACGACTTGACAATTCAACCGGCTATTGCTCGAATTGGAGGATATTTATACGTGACTTCTCAGGCAGTAGATCATTGGGGTGACCAGCGAATACGATATATTCAACACGGGCAGCCCGACCAGCAGAGTGGGACAGCCTTGTCCAGTAACAAACAATAAGAACTAGGGCTACACAAATATGACGCTACAACAACTAAGCCGCCTTAAAAAGACGCTTTGTGTACCTTGAATTCCGTCAGACCCAGCTTGCGAACAGGGCAGAAGAAAAAACGCACGAATTCAGTCCATGAACACCACCCTCAACCTGAGCACTGGCCGTGCGCAGCTCGAAGCGAACCCGGCCAGAGTCGACGCCCTCACGTAACTCGCTGATGCTGCGCACACCGATATCCTGCAGCGAGTGCTGCAAGCCGATGTACAGGTAAGGCAAGAAGGCCCGGACGCTGCCCTTGTCCTGGACGTCGCCGCTGACACCTTGCGCAACCTTGATCGCACTGCTTTCCGAGAAATACCGGGATGTGGCCGCGTTCTCCAGCGTCTTGCTCTGCCCCTTGCCCTTGGCCGGAGTCTTGCCCTGCTCCATGGCTTCCAGAGAACCCATCCCACGGTACGCCTTGACACGCTTGCCCTCGTGGTAGAAGTAGTCGCCGGGCGCTTCCTCCGTTCCGGCTAGCAAGCCGCCCATCATCACCGCACCGGCGCCGAGAGAGATAGCCTTGACGATGTGCCCGACGTTACCGATACCACCGTCGGCGATAACAGGAATACCAAATCGGCCGGCAAACTCGGCGACGGCGTACACGGCCGTGGCCTGCGGACGGCCGACAGCCATAACCTCCTGCGTGATGCAGATCGAGCCGGAGCCCATACCCACACGCAGGCCGTCAGCGCCAGCGGCGATGAGCGAAGCAGCCTGCTCGCGCGTGACAACGTTCCCCGCGATGACCTCGAGTGCCGGGAACTGTTCCTTGACCCAGCGAATCATCTCAATCTGATAGACGGAGTTGCCCTGAGATGAATCGAGGACAACGATGTCCAGACCAGCGGCGACGAGCAAGGCCAGTCGGTCGCGGTCAGACGGGCGAGTTCCGATGGCAGCCGCGGCATACAGTTGCTTCGTCGTCGGGTTCTTTGATGCAAGTGGATACGACTGGTTTTTAAGCAAATCGGAGCGAGCCAGTAGGGCGACGAGTTGGCCGTCGGTATCGACGATAGGAAGCTTGCCCTTTTTAGAATCGCGGAGAATGTCGTTGGCTTCAAGCAGCGTGATGCCCTTGGGAGCGGTGACAAGGTCGCGAGTCATGACCTCCGAGAGAGGCGTAGAGTGGTCCCGGAATTGTACGTCGCGTGCAGTAACAATGCCGACCAGCTTTCCTCCCAGAGATCCAGATTCTGTGAGGAAAAATCAGTGAAAGCTCCTAAACAAGGAGATTGTAGATCAGATAATAATTAGTAATTATCCGCAGATCACACAAGTTATTGCGTTTTCTCAGCAGAACGAAGGTATACTAGGTTGTTCATCGTGAAATCGAACGAGAAGATATACACACCTGTGATGGGAATCCCGCAAAACCCGAGGCGTGCTTTAATGTCCAGAACGTCGTCGACGGTGTGCTGAGGTGACAGGACAACCGGGTCGGCGATAAAACCGTTTTCGTGGCGCTTCACAGCACGGACCATAGCCGCTTGATTTTCAGGAGACTGATTGTGGTGAATCACACCGATACCACCGAGGAGCTGGGTCAGAAGTGAGCACGAGAGCAGAAATGATAAAAAAACAAAACCTACTGCCATAGCGATCGCCATGTTGGTCTCGGTGACTGTGTCCATGGGACTGCTCATGAAGGGAGTTTTGAGCACGACGTTCCGCGTGATGCGGCTCTCGCCCACGACATCGGAGGCAGGGAAGTCGATTTTTCCTGGGAGGAGAAGAAAGTCGTTGTACGTTAGCCCACCGTGGACTCGCGAGTCCATGAGATCGGAGACGGAGAGGCCATCGGAGCGAGGATATTCGGCGAGGACCTTGAGGGCGTCGGCAGGGGAGAGAAGAGTGGGCTTGGACATCAGGCGGGCTATTGCCAAAATTTTCTGAGGCACTGATGAGCCATTTATAGTGCTTGGTAAGCGCTGACACGAAGCTGATTACCGACGTCGCGGTACAGACCAAATAAGTGCAACCGCGCAGTTCCAGCTTGTTCCTGTCATCAAACTATCGCACAGGTCACAATGGCCCGAACGCCGAGCAAACCCAAAGCTCACGTCCCATACCGCGGAGACGATTTGTCTGTGGGGAGGAAGACTGGAGTCAAAGTGCCGCGAATCCAGCGCAAGTCGGACGGTTTCGAGCCGTTCAATGAACTGTTCAATCACGCTGATGATCGCACCCCGCCGCGCCGTAAGAAGAAGTCCATTTCCCGTGCCCAACGGACGCCGGAGGATGAGGACGAGGATGAAGACGAGTATGGAGAAGCTTCTATGGATCTCGACAGTGCGTAGATTCACTAGGCGGACTGTCTGTGAGTGTCTGACTTCCGTTCCAGGCCCCATCCAACAAGAGACTGCATCCCGCCGCGCCAGCACGTCGAGAGTGATATCTCGTACTCGCGCCGTTGATTTTGACGAGATCCCGTCACCTCGCAAAACTGTCGGACGTGCATCTCGGACTGCTCCTCGCCACACGGCAGAGGAGGATGCTGAAGAGGAGGATGCTGGACGCTATTTCGATGAAGCTGCCCAAATGGATGAAAACGAAGAGGAAGAGGACGAGGAGGACCAGATAGAACCTGCCTCCGCGGCTCCTGCCAGTCGTGCTAAAAGCGGGCGCAAGTCTGTGGCCACCATATCGAAAGGGAAAGGCAGACAATTGGAGCCTGTAGATGATGAAGAGGACGAGGACAATGCTGGTGGCGATGACTTCACACGCGAGCTGGAGGCCATCGATGATCTTCCTCCCTCTGACGAGGAAGCCGATGAAGTGGAAACGCCGCCTCGAAAGAAACCGCGTGCGAGCACTTCTCCGAAGAAACGGGAACCCAAGTCCAAACCCAAGTCCAAACCCGTCTCCGTCGCCGTTGAGAGACTTGCTCGAAGCGATACCGAAGAACCCCCTGAGGGTGTGCGGCGCTCACGGCGTACATTCTACGCGCCACTCGAGTGGTGGCGTGGCGAACACCGTGTCTACGAGCCTCGACACGATGGCGAGATACGACAAGTCCCTCACATCAAGGAAATCGTTCGTATTCCCAAGGAGCCGCCTCCTTCCAAAGCACCAGCTTCGAAGCGAAAACGCACTCGGCGCACACCAGAGACGCGGATCATCGAACAAGAAGTCATTGTCGAAGTCGACGCGAGCAACCCAGAACGCGGTTGGGATCACGAGACCCGGGATGATCCAAGCGCGTCTGTGATTGACTACGAAACGCAGGAAGAAGTCGTTCGCCGCTTGGCTTTCACGGAAGACATGTTTGATCCCAAAGCCGGTGCCCTCTCAGCGAGTTCTACCGAAGCCGACCAGTGGTACTTCCAGAAGATCATGTCGGATTCCGACTTCGTGGCTGCCGGCCAACTCTTGATAGAGCCCAAGAAGAGAAAACCTATCAAATCAGCCAAAGAAAATACTTATGTGTGTCGATTTCCATCCGCCTTTGGGGATCTGGTCGCTGACTGGGTCATCCAGATCTTCTATGTAATTTCAGGCGCCGTATCTGCCCTCATCAACAACCAAGCACGCACGGTCACTTCCGGGGGAATGTTTATGGTTCCCCGCGGGAATCAGTACATGATTGAGAATATCTGCGACCGGGAGGCCAAGCTTTTCTTCACGCAAGCTAAACAGTCCGACGAAGGCGAAATTGTCGTCAGAAAGCCACGGGCTGCTGCTTCGCATGTCTCTATGGATCCTATGATCTCTTGAATGTCAATCTGTACAATCCTTTCTAGAGCATCTGTATCTTTATTTCATGGAATTGTACTGCTGTGCTGCTATGGCTGGTGTGACCGAGAGTCACGTGCGAGTGACACTACGCGCCTTAACGAGCACTTGAGAATCCACAGTGCGGTGTCCAGATGTTGTAGCGAGCTCCAAAAAGCAGCAAATTGGAAGATGAGAAAGAACACAGTGGTGCATGTAGAATAGATTGGATTGCAAATCGATGAGATGAAAGACGCTCTTGCGTTCAGCGACGCGCTATTTGGATGAAATGAGCAGGGTCCCGAGGTTGTGCCGAAAAGACATCAGAGACCAGATTATTCAACTGAACATCTCCGAAGTTTCGTCGACGCTGTCCAACTTCCCGTACATTAGATTATCGAATACATGAAACACCTGGGTGGCCTGAAATCGATGAGAACCAGAACGTGTGCTTATTCTGCCGAGAGGCAGATTGCTCGACTATCCTTCAGCGACGTCCAAGAGCTCGAGTTAACTGAAGTTGGTCTGCTCAGGCTCCGAAGCAGTCGCAAAAGGAACTCAAACTTTCAGCCTGATTTCGGAGGAAATCGGAACAGATTTGTATGAGATGTTTATGCGTTGCACCCATCCTAGTTGTCCCCGGCTTGCAGTGGTGTGCGAAGACCGGATGAGAAATGAAAACTGCTTCCCAGATCTTTCTGCTAGGGACCGGTCGTTCACCCTTTGCCATGCCAGTTGGGATCGGAATGACGAGCGTGAGAAGATGCCGCGCTTAGAAGGCTGATTATCTTAGTCTACTGGGCTGAAACTGCGCTCATGTGCAGGGATGCGTCGAAAGATTGGAAGACTCCGACGGCCAACGTGCGTCCGAAAGGAGGTGCGCTAGGGCAGAAAAGAGCTTGATTGCGCTGATGAGGATAGCACACGGACGTGACGAAACTAGAGACATAGATTACCTATGTGTGACGTCGATCTTATGGTCGGCTTGTCCCCCACAGATCTCTTTCCTCGACCACCATGAACTCCTTCAAGAACCACCGCATTATCGTGGCCTCCTTGTTTCTCCCGTCGACCGTCGTAGTAGGCTCCGAGTCGCCTATCGCGACACCCGAAAAGAAGCCGCCGCCGTTTTCGGTCCCCGACGTCCTTCAGCGTGTCGAATCGGTGACCCAAGCTCCGGCCCGTCCCGGCCTACGTCCCTTGCCCACAAGGAGCATCGTCGATGACCTGATCAATGTGAAGTCCCGCAATCCTACACCGGCTGCGACCCCGGGTCAGGAGAACCTGAACCCATTCATGAAACTCAATGGCAATCACCATCCTTTGGTGACGCCGCTTACTCGAAAACACCAGACCACTCATAGCAGCGAGGGCCGACCGCGACTGCAGCGGAAAAGTAGCGCCTCACGGTCGTCATCCCGCCGGCCCGAACCGGAGCGCAAGCGCAGCCTTCGCGACGAATGGCACATCGAGAACAACCCACACTGCAATGGGGGTCTGAAAAACGCCATTCTCAGCATGGGTGATAAGCTGAAGGAGACCCTGTGGGTGGGAACCATCGGCGCCCACACCGACTCTATCACGGAGCCGCTTCGCAACGCCATTGACCAGCGCATGCGCGCTGAGAAGTCGTGCTATCCTGTATGGATCCCCGACATGGAGTTTGAGAAGTGCTACGATGAGTTTTGTCATCAGGTTAGTGGGCATGAGGTTCGGCAACGCGTCATAACACCTCATCGAAATTCTGTAGGTATTGTGGCCCAGCCTCCACTACGCTATCCCCGACGCGCCGAAAACTAAAACTTTCTACGAATCCGCTTCGTTCAATCAATATGTTGCCGTCAACCAGCGATTTGCGGATGCTATCGGAGAAGCCTACCAGGAAGGAGATATCAGTGAGTGATCATGTTTCGCCGCAGGCACTGGACTCATTTTCTAGTCTGGGTTAACGACTATCATTTGATGCTTCTCCCTGCTCTTCTGAGAGCTTGCCCGAAGATCCCATCTCACGCGCCGATCGGTTTTTTCATGCATGTCGCGTTCCCCTCGTCCGAAATCTTCCGTTGCTTCTCTGTGCGGAGGGAGCTGCTCGATGGTGTTCTCGCAGCGGACTTGATCGGTTTCCAAACAGCAAATCATGCACGCCACTTCCGTCAGACGGTCAGCCGGATCATGGCGTACGAGGCACTACCACGAGGTATCCAGATCTACCAAGGGCAAGGACGGGACCGTTGCTCTCGTTTTGTGAACATTGGCGTGTTTCCCATGGGAATCGATGTCCAGCAGCTGCGAGAGAAGAAGTGAGTGCCGACGTCACGGATATCTCGTTCTATCTAACAGCTTATCAGACGGGATCCTGATGTCGCTGAATGGGTTCAAGTCCTGAAGCAACGTTACGCAGGGATGAAGATCGTTGTCGGACGGGACAAACTGGATGAGATTCAGGGTGTGCGTCACAAATTGCTAGCGTTCCAGTGGTTCCTAGAGAAATACCCCGAATTCCACGGAAAGGTCGTCCTCATCCAAGTGGCGCTGCAGACTACCGTGACCGATCTGGCTGGAAACATTGCAGATGTCGTGACGCACATCAACTCGCGGTTCTCGACCCTCACATGGCAGCCAGTGGTGTTCTTGCCGACGCAGGACCTCACATTCAGCCAATATCTGGCTCTGCTTTCCGTGGCAGATGCGTTCATCGTGACGAGCTTGCGTGAGGGAATGGCATTGCGGACTCACGAATTCGTCGAATGCCAGGAGGAAAGGCATCGGCCGCTCATCCTGAGTGAGTTCACTGGCTCGTACAGCTACAGTGGATTTCGTTCTTGCATCGCGATCAATCCGTGGGATACTCGCGGAACGGCCGCGGCGATCCACCAAGCGCTGACCATGTCTGACGACGAAGCCTTGTCCCGCTGGGAGGATCTGCACAATCATGTGACGACCCAGACGAGCCAAGCGTTCGTGACATCCTTCCTCTCGCGGTGCCTTCGGTCCCACACGGAACAGCATCTGCAAGCGCATTCCTCGCCGCCGCTGGACATGTCGCGTCTGCTCCCCAAGTACAAGCACTCCTCGAAGCGTCTGCTCCTGATCGACCTGGAGGGGACCCTGTGGAACCGTCCCAAACCGAAAGTGGGCGGCTATGCCCCCGCCGATTTGGACAGCAGAGACGATGTGAGCATGGAACTGGCTGTGGAGTTGCTCAAGCAGCTTTCTTCGGACCGACGTAACGACGTGTGGCTGCTGAGTGGACTGCCGGCCTCTGGTGTGCTCACTCGCCTCGCGAAAGACGTTCCCCGAGTCGGCATTGTGGCCGAGAATGGATGTTTCATTCGCCCGAAGATCAACCACCGTGCCTCGACTGGTATGACTCTCAACAACAAACTGAATGGCTTCACCAAACGGCGAAGCGGCTCGGATCTTGACCCGGTCAATACGACAGCAAATCTTCCCGGAGGCTGGATCAGCATGGTTTCGACGTTCAACTTGGGCTGGAAGAGTTCTTGCATTGAGATTCTGAACTACGTGCGCATATTTTCATCTGGTCCTGAGCACAGCTGTTGACGGAAAGCAGTTCACTGAGCGAACACCGGGATCGTTCGTCGAAGAGCGCATGGCATCGATTGTCTGGCGCTTCTGGACGGGTGAAACATTGGAAGACTGCGGTGATCGTCAATGGGCGCTTCGGCAAGCCGCTGAAGCTCAGAACCACATCTTTGACAGGTGGGTAGTCACAACCTAGAGCACGACCGATTCTGAAGTTCCTCAGTCTCGGCGAACGTTACGGGTTGAGAATCATCCCCGGCGACAACAGTTTCCTTGTTCTTCCGAATAATGTATCGCGCTCAACCGCTGTGGGGGCCATCCTCCACCCCGGTGGACCCACGTCGGCTATCGGTCAGCAGCGAGGCTGGCCCACCGGCGGGCAATTCGGCTCGGACGATGATGCCATCGCCCAGGGTGATCTGGATCTCCTCCTCGCTATCACTGGCGACGAGCACCTCATTCGCCGGTTGAATGAGTTTGATGTGGCTGAGACGGTGGCGACTGGTGGCAAAGCGGCAACCGATGCACGATGGACGCTGGGCTCGAACGTCGTCGAGACGCTGTCTGTGCTGGCCAATATTTCATCGTGAGGCTTTTTCGTCTTCTATCCTTCGATCGCTGTTCGTGGGCGGTTAGATGACAGTTCGCCAACCACGTGCTATTTTTGCTTTTAGTTATCGTTATTCTGTCTGCTAGCAAGTCGGCCCAGGGAGCAAGAACGACACAACAAGAACAATAGTTGGAGAATATGAGCTCGAATAGATGTATACAAAGATTTGGATGTAGTACTAGAGTTATCGATCGACCATCTTCGTCTATTCAAGCGGAGCGAGTCCTGCGGAGCGCACGGGGAAGGGGAGCCGTAGTAAGCAGAGGGGGTTAGCATGCTGCGGATGCTCGCCACGCGCGCAATCGAACGGCTGCGAAGCAGAATTACAGTTCGTCCCTGATTTTGACCAATTTCATGGGTACGTATCAGATTGTATCCATCTTAAGGACTTTCACAGCCCGCCTAGCTCAATCGGATAGAGCGTCAGACTCTTATAGGCGGGATCTGAAGGCTGCGAGTTCGACCCTCGCGGTGGGCTAATGATCCTTTTGCCCCTCAGAGATCTAGACTAGGTACTAGATAAGATAGTCGATCTCCACCCATCGATTCCGATCACCCTTGCTCAATTTTTGCCACCATGGTCTCGATCAGCCAATCCGACTTGAACGCCCTCGAAGCGGCTTTGCTCAACACATCTGGGAACGTGGCCCTCCACAGTCGCTTTCGCGCCCTGTTCACTCTTAAGTCTCTCAAATCAGAAGATGCTGTGAGGGTCATCGCCGCTGGTTTGTGAGCTTTGTATCTCGGTACCCGTCCTGGATCCGACGCGCTCTGTACAGGCTTCAAGGACGACTCGGCGCTTCTGAAACACGAGCTCGCGTACTGTCTGGGACAGATGGGCAACACCTCTGCGCTGCCGACTCTGGAGGGGGTCCTGCGCGATGGGAGTGAGGATCCGATGGTGCGCCATGAAGTGAGCGTCTTCCTGTTTTCCCAGTCTCCGCAGCGCGACGCAAGCTCGAACCTGATTATTCTGCTAGGCAGCCGAAGCGATGGGCGCCATCTCGGCGCCTGCGTCGCTCCCAGTGTTGCGCGAGTTTCTGGGCGACGCGAACCGGTCCGTGCGCGAGACGTGCGAGATCGCGATTGCGAAAATCGAGTGGGACAACTCGGAAGAGGGCAAGCGGCACGCGGAGAGCGCTGTGGACGATTCTGCTGCCCCGTGCGTTCCGCTCTGCGCTTGCGATTCAATTGTAGCGTGCGCTGACCCAGGATGGGCAGGACGTACACGTCAATCGACCCCGCCCCGCCGTCTTCGGGCTTTTTCGCTGGCGCGCGGGCACCTGCGTCGACGTTCTCAGACGCCGAGAACGTGAAGCGCATCGCAGCTCAGCGGGCCAATATGCTCGACACGGATCTACCGCTATTCGAGCGCTACCGGGCCATGTTCGCCCTGCGCAATATCGGCACGCCTGATGCCGTCGATGCGCTTGCGGCTGGGTTCGAGGACGACAGCGCGTTGTTCAAGTCAGTCCGCTTTCGAACATCTATGTGTGTGTGTGAATTTTCGCTGACCACGTACGGGGCCTCCAGGCACGAAATCGCGTTTGTGTTCGGGCAGCTGCTCTCCCCGCACTCGGTCCCGGCCCTCCTCTCCGTCCTCGAAAACTCGCGCGAATCGGACATGGTGCGCCACGAAGCGGCCGAGGCGCTGGGCGGGATCGGCACGCCGGAGGTGCTGCCGCATCTGAAGGAGTGGCAGGCGCGGCCCGATGCACCGCTCGTGGTGAGGCAGAGCTGCGAAGTCGCGATTGATATGTGGGAGGTGAGTTTTTCCTTCCGCCGTTTGCGGCACGTCCCCCGCATGGGATGAGGCTGACTCATCCCAGCACGAAAACTCGGGGGAGTTCCAGTACGCCAATGCGCTCAGCGCGCAGCCGGCTATGTCTTCAGCAGCTTAGACATGGCCTGTGTACGATCTCAAGTGTATAGTAGTATGCGCGCGGGAAGATGACCGTGGATCTAATCTAATCCTCTTGCTCGTTTGTAAACTAATCACGCGGCCGCTGAGTCCTTTCCGACCATCGCAGCCACCAAGACCACCTCCGCCTCAAACACGCTCCCAACCAGCCCCTGGCCAAGCAAGAATGCTCTGAACCGTGTCTCGCCCCAGCCCAGCATCAACTTCAGCTGCGACACTTGCGTGACCCCGCTCTTCTCGAAGGCCGGCCAGCGGTGCGCAAGTCCCGGCTCGCAGGCGCGGAGGAATGCCTCCATCTCGGCACTCTCGGTATCAGAAATCGAGGGCGTCGGAGATGACCTGCGGGCGGGCCGTGATGGTGCTTGCTTGGGATTCGGGCTTGGTGTATCTGGCTGTGTGAAGGTCTTGGACGGGCCGCTGACACCGCTTGATGGACTGCTGCTGCTGCTGCTGCTCGCGGCAGGCTTTTGCTTGGGCTGGATGGCTTTCACGTTGCTCGGTGCTGCGTCGGCTTTCCTGAACAGCGGCCGGGGCAAGGGACGTTTGGGTGTCACGGATTCGATCTCTTTCTCCTTCTTCACAGGGACTGGACTTTGCTTTCTGGGAGACTTGATTGATTGAGAGACCGGCTGCGCGGTGTCTTTTGCGATGGGGCTCGTGACTGCCAGCTGGTCCACCTCCTCGTCCTCGTCCGATTCAGACTCGGACTCGACGCGATTCCATCTCGAATGGGCATTCGGAGATTTCACACCACTGGCGGCCTTTTCCGTTTTGCCACGAGCAGGAGACGAGCAGTCTTTGCACTTCACCGCGGTCTGCGCGCAGCAATCACTCGCTCGCTCGACGCACCGGCAGCCGTGTCGCGCAACTCACCATCTTCCCGCTTTTCTCCAGATACGACTTGGCGTACTTCTCGAGGCACCTCCGTCGGTCGACGTAGTTGGATAACTTGGGGCTGAAGTAGCCGGAGAACCGCTTTTCAACCTCCGCCACGAATTCCTCCATCGCCTTGGGCTGATCGGGGATCGGCTCAGTCAGGTCGAAGAGCTTTAGCGAAATCTGGCGAAGCGCTTTCTGTGTACGGGAGGGGCGATATCATCATAAACTGCTGCGAGTGGATTTAAAATCAACATACTTTGAGCGACTCAAACATGGTTGGGTGTTCTGTGAGCCCAATGGAGGCTGCGAACACATCACCGTCCTGTCGAGTCGCGTCATTCTCCATTTCTCAAATCTAACCAGGGAAGATGGAACACACAGATCGTCTGAGTGCCTTGGTTGGAGCTCGAGACGATTCAATATCCATACAGAGATACAGATAGTTTGAGACTTACTCCGCTGCACAGGCATACCGTGATCGTGGTGCTTGGGAGAGAAAATCGTTCTTCGAATGATCAGGCTCGCGCAGGGTTGCGTTTAGGGTTGCACTGATGCAGTGCATGTGTCGGGATTCAGAGTTTCTCTTTCCGAACAAGGACTCAACCCGGTTAACCGAGCTTCTGCTTGTATTTCCATTTCCAGAGGACAGGTGACGCGTCAATCAAACACAGCAGATGAACCTGCGTTCTGGACCACACGCGAACTCTCACTTCACGTGATATCGTCACACGATTGACTCATGCCCCGAGAAAGATGGCCCAGTTGTCTCATGGTACGATCATGTCCATCTAGATACCTTAAAAAATAGAATACCGCATGTCCATTTCATCGTAGATCCATCATAGCGGCGCCGTCGTGTTGTAAAATTTGACGCTCTTGACTTCCCAATCTGCCCAGCCAGTCTGTCAGCAGTGGCCAGGGAAACAGCGGGCACATCGACTCACATGCTTCGCTAAACGCAGCACCTTCAGCCGCGACAAACGCCTGACACGTCGAGTATCCCGTGCGGGCAGCACAGCTCTGAGCCTGTCCCGGCGCACCCGAGGTCGTCCAGGCACTGGCAGCCCAATCCCCACACAGCGTCGTGTCGAAGATGGCGACGTGCGTGTAGAAGTATTTCCACGGGTCGCAGTCCGAGGCCGGCCAGTGCGCCATCGGGAGACCCCAGTTGTCAGGCAGCGGGGCGCCCCCGTCGATGTCGCCGGGAACAGAGCCCCGGGCGAAGAACCAGACCGCGATGCCGGAGGAGTCCCATTTCACTGCGGTCGCGTCAGAAAAGGTGGAAGGCACCGAGAACCCAGATGTCAGACGCACTGGCATAAACCCCGCCACCGTTATTGTTGAACCCTGGTCCGAAGCTGAGGTTGGACGGGGACTGCATGCCGCATCCTTGGTTGCCGGAGGAAGCAGCAGCACAGTCCGTGCCGCCCGTGACAGCCATCGCACTCGTGCCCAGTTGACTCGGATTGGACGTCGACAGCTGGCACCCCGGCGCAGTGTGGATAGTGGCCTGGTTGTTCGTGTAATCGTTCACGCCCTCGACGATGTCAATCTCTCCGGCGATGGGCCAATTGGGTCCATTCGACCAGAAAGCGCTGCGTATGAGGGATGAGAACGATGATCCCGGGGAGTAGATGGATGTGATGGACGCACGGCCAAGTCGCGCATCCAGTGGGCATGTGCACCGAGTCCATGATGACCAGTCCCCCGGTGAACGACTTCTGGGTGGTGATCCGTATGCTCTTGCGATTGCTGGCGACGGTCGGTGTCGTCTCGACGCGCATGACGGCGTTCCCAGCCGAGTTCACCTCGACGAGACCAGCAGCTTGCTGCCAAAACATCAGTACACCGTCCGCCCATCGAGGTAAGTCAGTTGAGGCGCACCCCGTCAGCCTGGCTCAGGTAGTCCACCGTGCCGTGTGTGGGGTCGTTGAGGTTCCAAAAGTCCCACTCATCGAAGAAAGTCGACCCGGCCTGTTGAGGGACATGAGATGGATAACACGAACAAAAAGACCAAGATCAACGGACGTAGGATTGAGTCAGGTGCCACACGGAGCTCGACTGAGTAGGACTTGCGCTGTTCGCAGTGGTCGTCCCCGAGCCCGACTTCCTACTGCTGGTGCCAGTTGAAGATCCGCCCGTGCTACCGGAGGATGACGAAGATGATGAGGACGATGAAGATGATGAAGACGAGCTGGAGCTGGAGCTGGAGCCATTGGTACCGGCCCCGGCCAGCGCGTTCCGCGTAGCCGCGGACTTGCAATAGATAACATGCTGCGCCGTGCTCCGGGGCAGCACACCGCCGAACGCGAGCCGCAGGTCGCGAGCCAGATGCTTCGTCTGATGCGCCGCAAAGCCGGACGCACGCTGCAGCAAGGTGGCCGAAGCGCCATCCGGGATCGCGGCAAGGACGAGGAGGGCGGAGGCGGAAGCGGAAGATGGGGAGAGTCGCATATGTAAGTAAGTTCAGAAAGGCCGTGGATGATGTATAGGTTAGTTAGTATAGAACGTAAGCGCCGTCGTCGAGAGGCGCGAATATCGTTAAAGCGGGTGTCGAGAAATGAGAAAGCGTGAGGGACGTTATATAAAGGCGCTCTGGGGTAGCTCTAGGTAGTGAGGAAGATGGGAGGAAACCGGAGATGGTGGAGGAACAAGAGGGCCGGTTACCACACCATGAAATTTGCATTGTGTTGGCCTCATTGTTCTACTTCAATACTGGCTCGCGATCAGCTTCTTCGGCCCGCCGCTCAAAAACAGACTCCAACATTGCCACTTCCGTCGCAAATGCAGCTGGAGGATGATGGAACTCGTTGGAGGGGAACGATTAGATTGGTCTCGAGGTCGCGAAAGCGTGCCAGTGAACAACGAGCGCGTCGTCGATCGATCATGTGCCTGACATGTCAATGGTTTCCGGACCCGACAGCGATAACCGATTGCTCCCTGTACATGTCCTAAGGCCCTCGAATGGAATGAAGGAGAGCAAGCTCCAGTTGTGAACAGCGGGAATCCAAGATTATTCCGGTGAAAATTGAGACATGTGCGGATGCAGACAAAGAGCCTCAATCTGCTCGTAAGACCTGATTACCAGCAACTGATCCCGCTCATTTCACCTTTCCTGGCGTAAACTGGCATAAGATGTCATACGAAGGGCGTATACACGAATCAAAAGCGGCGTTGACGACTGATATATATAACCAAAGAGAAGGAAGGAAGATATCAAGGTAATACAAAGGAATGTGATAATTAAGTACTAAACGTCGACAGGATTTCAGATAAATCGTTCGGGAACCACTACACCCACAGCACGCAGTAAAAAAACAGGCATAGAAATGGAAAAGATGATCAGAATCCATATCACCGCTGTGAGCTAGGCGCAAATGCTTCCCGAACGCTTCGTCGCAGTTCATCCGTCGAGCTGTCAAACGAGCCAGGCTGAATGTGGGATCCCGCCGGCAGGCTCCCAACAGTCATGTCGTCCCCTTCTAGGATCTCGTTGATCCGGCGAGCCAGCTGCTGAATCTCGCCCTGGCCCTCACCGGTCTCCGTGTCCTGATACGACTGGCTCTGAGAACGATGCGATGTTGGTGTTCCACCGGCCGAGCTGTGTGACGAAGCTCGCGAGCTGGCCAGATGCCTGATATTCGGAATGAGCAGCGCAGAACCTCGGATGTTATTGATCAACACAGGATCTGACATGTCGTCAGCCGTTACAGGGAAAGGATGGAGACAGGCAGCACGGACCTCCCGACTCAAGCAACTGGACAATGGTCCAGACGGCGATGTGCTGGAATGTCGCATCTGAGCTTGTCAGGAAGCGGTGAAGGTACCGATGCATTCCACCCTCGGGCTTCTCCCAAACGTCATTGAAAGCCGAGTAGTCCTCGGTAGAGCTTCGGCCGTCTTCGCGCCATGTGAGAGATAGTACCTCGCAAGCAGAAACGAGAACGCACCTTTAGATGACAGGTTGCCCAAAGCAGCAGCGCTGTTGCCCTGCACTTCAGAACTGGGCGAGTTCGTTAGAGGGATGAGGACCTCGCAGACACCCATCTCGAGCAGCTGGCCCTTGAGATCGTCTGCGAACGGTGTTAGCGCGTGAATGGCGCCACAAAAACGGGCCGCTGACCACTCAATGCGAGAACAGCGACACAAGCCGTCATCTCGCTTTGGACATTCATCGGCACCTCGAGCACTAGATCCTTGATCGATTGGACGGCGCCCGCCTTGACGATGGCAGTCTTATTCTTCTCGGAGCTAGCCGCAAGATTCCGAAGAGTGGAAATGGCGTGGCATTGTACCTCTTCGTTCTCCTTGAATGACAGCAGGTTGATGAGCGGTTGCAAGAAACCAGACTCGATAATGGGTGACTCGTTCTGGGGATGGATCGACACATTGCGAACGCAGGCGGCAGACGAAAGAATGAGAGGAAGATATGTGGATTGAAGCAGTCGAAGCAGAGCCAACAGACCGTCAGCCTTGACGATTTCGAGTTGGTACTTCTCTGTATTTGGATGAGCATATCCCCATGTTGGCATAACGAAAGCACGCATACCATCACTGGCCAGGTTGCGGAGGGCCAGAGCGGCTTGACACTGGACCTTGAGGCTAGGGCTCTCCATAAGAGTAACCAAGGACGCGACCAGTTTGGGCTCTGTCTGAGCCAGCTTCTTCCTGTTGTTGCCTGAGAGATACGTAAGTGTCAATCATGCCTTGATCGACGTGGGGCATACCGTCTACAGCAATGTTGCTGAGAGCAGTCGTGCAGTAATATTGCACATCGGTATCAGGAGAGTTGAGCAGGCTGACTAGAACGGGGATGGCACCCGCGTTGACCAACTGCTGCCGGTTCTCATCTACGCGAGACAGCAGCTAAGCGGTCATTCCACATTGCGAGAGGGGTCATTACGTACCAGAATGCGTCATGTTCAACAGAGCTCCCGTCGCATTCCGCTGGACCCGCATATCCTTCGACCGTGCGAGGCGCGTCAAAGGAACGAGTGCGCCCGACTTGGCGATCTTGGTCTTGTTGTCGTCTGCGTGGCAACATTGAGTGGCGGGTCGAGATTACTCCGATGGAAACATACCGTGGGTTGCGAGGTTAGTAACACATCCGACGGCATTGCACTGCACTTCGACATTCGGACTGAGCATCTGGCGAATCAATGGCTCGAGGCCCCCAAGCTTCACGATGAGAAGCTTGTTATCAGCTTTGGTAACCAGTCGTCAGCGCCGTCTAAAAACAAGCTATAGAAGCGTACTGTTGACGGCCAGGTTACCCAGGGCCGCACTCGCTGCCCGCTGGACCTCGGTGTCGTGGCTGCTGAGAAGGAAAAGGATAGGGTCGAGGGTGTCGCGGCCCACTGGGCGGACCTCCTTCTCGGTGATCTCTGCAAAAGCCAAAGCAGCACTGCGCTGAAGGTCGACATTGTCGGAGAAGGAGAGTATAGTGAGTGCCGATAGAGGTGAACCGGTGAAGAAGTTGGTTGTCGTCCGGTCTAAGTAACAGTCAAGCCGTTACAGTCAGCCGAGTGTTAACCTTTGAGCACCGAAGCCCACGTACTCTCCAGGTACTGCAGCAAGTCAGCTACTGCCTCCCGCTCGTTCTCCAACAGCAATGGCTCGTATGTCTGTGACTTGCGGGACGAGACTGCGGGCTGTCAAACGCTGCAGGAACGAGGCACCATTGTGACTCACAACAAGATTCGCAACAGCTGGTAACGTTTCCCATGTTAGATCGGTCGGCGTTGAACGAGGTCGGGGAAGGGAGACGACGCCAGTAGAGTACTGTTGGTCGTGGGCGAGAAAAGTCTAAGCGGCTGTGCACGTGAGAGTGCCATCAATGGCCACCATCATCAAGATTCAACATCGGCGGAAGCCGGTCCCCGGATAAGCGGGAGATGTGGGTTCGTCTAGATCTACCAACTAGCTTCAGCAAGCTCGGAAAGCAACCTTCGATTTTCTACGACCCTTCCTAATATCTGTTAAGTGTGCACTCACCGTCGAGTGAAGACTGGTACAGTTCCCTCGGCGCGGCGCGCCAAGAGTGAATGTCTTACGGCAGGTATTGCCACAGAACACGGAGAAGGGCAGCGCAAGCAGTCCTGACCAGATACGCCACAGACATTCATTAGACCTAGATGGCTCACTGCAAATTCTGAATTCCATCACATGACTAGCTAGATACAAGTCAATCTCTACGCGCGAGCAGCGAAACCGGCGTCGAGGACTGCTTGTCGCCGATGGGAGACAGCCTGGACAGCAAAGGGTTCAGTCGGAGAAGGGAGGATATCAACAGCGCGCTGGCCTTGTTCAGCTTGTCGAGCATGACGATCGTAGTTTCCCAATCCACGCAGGCATCGGTTATGCTCACTCCCCATTTGAGATTTTGTGCGCCTTCGCTGGGAACATCTTGCCGACCGTCGTTGATGTTGGATTCGATCATCACCCCGGTGATGCTCTGTTCTCCTGCGGCTAGCTGCTCGCAGATAGAGTCAATCACAAGCGGCTGATTCTTGTGGTTTTTTTGGGAGTTTCCGTCTGAAGGAATGTATCTCAGACGGGTCAGGAACCGTTCTCATTTACTTACGACTGCAGTCCACCATAACGCTGGCACGTTCACGCTTCTTCAAGATCGACTGAGTCGCTTCCTTGACGAACTGACTGGCAAAGTTGGGACCCTTGGTTCCGCCACGAAGGATAACATGGACGTCCTGGTTGCCCCGTGTTTTGACGATCGACGCAAGACCTTGAAACACCCGGTCACTTTCTACTAAAACATCCGCCAAGTCAAATAGCGCACCTTGCTCCGTGACACCCATAAACGCATGCGGCGATCCCGCTGAATGCATCGCGTCAATCGCCACAGTCACGCTGCGGCAAGATGGTACGTGAGATCGCAGTTATGTAATAATTCAACTACACACCTGCCATCTGTCCCATTCTTGAATCCGACCGGGAAGGAGACGCCCGATGCAAGCTCTCGATGCAGCTGCGATTCCGTAGTTCTAGCACCGATGGCGCCCCACGATATTACTACAACCATGAGACGATCGTCGATAGGACCAGAAGAAACTTCTCACAGTCAGCCAGGTACTGGGGCGATATCGTATCGAGCAGTTCCAGTCCAACGGGAACTCCAGAGTCGGTGATGTCGCACAAAAGCTGCCGGGCGATGCGGAGGCCTTTGTTGATTTTGAACGAACCGTTGATATCGGGATCATTGATCAATCCCTTCCACCCCACCGTCGTCCGAGGTTTCTACGCTGATCGTGAGCATATATCCGGAGCCTCAGAAGATATATCGACCTCGCTGTGGTGGAGCAGTCAGCGGGTATGATTGGGTATAGTGCGGGGAAGATCCACGTACAAGTAAGCGCGCATGATAATAAGCAGGTTAGGCCAGCTGGCCAACTTCGCCTTCAACAACCCTGCGTACTCCAAAGCCTGCTCGGGAGAATGGATCGAGCAAGGGCCAACGATCACCAGAATGCGATCGTCGTGCCCCGCAACGATCTGGGCCGCATGGTAGCGCGCCGACGCGATGGTCTTTTGGGAGTCCGACGAGGAAACAATCTCGTGCAGAAGGAGGGCAGGTTGCACGAGCGGATCGTACTGTGTTCGCAGCGTGAATAGAGCGGCGTGCTCAAGGCAGCACACCTACACCGATGACACGGCGATCTTGGATGTATTGGCGGACTTTCTCCGCGTCGTCAAAGTCGGGGAACGGTGTGACGCTGTTCATGTCGGGAACAGCTGGGAATCGGAGGTGAGAATTAAGCAAGGGGAGGGAGTTGCGCGTACCGAATCTGAACGCGTTCCGCCCGTCTTTTATAGTTCTCTCGAAGGTAGACATCTCGCAAACGTTCGAGCTAGAGTTAGTCACGCAAGTAGTACGTCAAGTGAGACGAGGGGATGTATTCTAAGGGGAAACCACGGTGCAAGCTCGAGTCAGAGCGCAGATGTGATTGTGGCTGTGCCTGAATTGCCGGCCGCCGGCTCAAGTTGCTGCCACTGCTTAGTTCCCATCTAAACTGGGACTTCAAAGGCTCCATCGCGCATGCTCACGCGTCTGGGTTGGAAGCATCCACTGCACTTACGAAGTATTTCCCCATCTCATATACGCGTCATGGCTTCCCTGCCCACCTTCAAATTTTCTGGAAACACGAACATCCAACTTACACCTGTCGAAGCCGAGCTTTGCACGTTCATAGATGAATGCTGCGCCGATCTGCAGGAAACTAAGGGGATCAACAATACATGCCGCATTGCTGGTGGTTGGGTACGCGATAAAGTGCGCTCAGTCACGTTGTCCCTCTAGAAATAGCCTCTCATCGTGCGGCCAACAGCTTCTAGGAAAGGAAAGCAACGACATCGACATTGCGCTGTCCAACATCATGGGTGATGAATTCGCTGAACATCTTGCCCGTTTTGCGGAAAAACGCAGCGTCCAAACTGGCCCCATCGCGATCTTCAATCCCAACCCCGAACAGTCCAAGCATCTGCGAACCGCGCGTATCCCCATCTTCGAGCTCGAACTAGACCTAGTCAATCTGCGGAGTGAGGAATACGCAGCAGATAGCCGTATTCCGACGGCGGTGGTGGGTATGCCGGGATCTCATTTCCAAGAATAGCTAGTTGATCCCCACCGGTAGGCGTTCGGGACACCATTGCAAGATGCCTTGCGGAGAGACATCACGATCAATGCCCTCTTCTACAATGTGCACACACGGACTGTTGAAGACTGCACAGGGAAGGTGCAGTTGCGTCTCTGTCTCCGTGTTTTCGTCGAATTCATCTGAGCAAGGGCATCGAAGACCTCAAAAATGGGATCGTCCGCACACCTCTCCCTCCTCGGGAGACCTTCATAGACGACCCTCTGCGCATTCTCCGCAGCATCAGGTTTGCCAGTAGATATGGCTTCACCATCGTATCGGACTTGGAGGAGTCCGTGAAGGATCCCGTCATCCAAGTGAGCAGATGCCTCGTCCTCGCTCTCAGCTTGTTGAGTTTCGCCAGAATGCTCTTGTTACGAAAGTTGCAAGGGAAAGAGTTGGGGAAGAGTTGACGAAGATGTTGAAAGGTTGGTACCCCCTTTTATGTGCCCTATTGGCCGACCGAAACTCAGCTAGGTCCGGATCCAAAGCGAAGCATCGACCTCATCAACCACCTCACGCTCTACGATCCTGTATTCAACGTTCTGCCTTCTGAAACGACGCTTTCTTCACCATTAGCGCCACGGAGTACCTCGTTGGACGCCACCTTCGTGCTTGATAGTCTCTTGGATCCCTCCGGCACAACGTTCGAGCCCCTCCCGCGCATACATCCGTCCTTGATTCAAGCCGTGTCCAAGGATCCGACAGCACGTCCACGCTTGTTCCTGGCCGCGGCCCTGACACCCTACCTGGGGCTCACTTACCAAGATCGCAAGAAGAAGGCGCTGCCCGCTGTCGAGTTGGCGATCCGCGAATCTCTCAAACTCGGAGCGCAGTACCACTTTGCTGACGGCATCCCCCTGCTGTTCTCTGCTGCGCAGTATCTCAAGAATCCAGACTTGAGTGAGAAGCGGTTCCAGGACCCGTCGGAGCGAGTTGCGTTGGGACTTTTGCTCCGTGAGAAGATGATGCACCATCCTGCGTCTGGAGCGAGATGGCAGCTGGCAGTCTTGTTCTCTCTGGTTCAAGAACTGGCTTTGGTATGCCCGTCTGGTGCGTTCGATGGTAAGTTCAGTGCAATCTGAAGTACTGCGGCGCACTGACCGGATTACAGCTGTGGAGGCGACTAGATTACTCGAGCTGTATAACGCCTTCGTGTCTCGGATAGAGGAGCTTGAGCTCTCAGATGTTGGCGAGGAAAAACCATTACTCAATGTCAGTGGCATCTCTACGTAATCGCAGAGTTGCTGATATCTTCCAGGGCCACATAACCAGTCAGATCCTGGGTGCCTCCAAACCTGGGCAGTGGACTGGGGCTGTTCTGGCTCGAGTGATGGAATGGCAACTGGAACACCCGAAATCAACTGCAGAACACTGCACCGCCTGGTTGAAAGAGGAACACGGTGCCGGCAGAATTACCATCAACGATAGCTCAGAGCCTGCGAGTAAGCGTCTGAAGACAAAGCGATAGACAACTATCGTACACACACAAATCATTAGTTCACGACTGCCAACTTGTTGGTCAATATATCACAGTCCTCCGGTTCTGATCTCCTTCTTTCTGTTGTATGCATCCATAAGCGCCTGCTTGATCGTGGCCTCGCCCGCTTCGAAGTTGGCCATGGAGAGCTTGATGACCATGTCTATCTGCTCCGCGGTCAAAACAAGATTGTAAGACCCGCAGAACTTGGCAGTTGAAGGGTCCAGCCCAGGCACGGCACGCTCATTCGGCAGGAAAGGAAGATAGACCATGGTGCAGTCCCTCGTCACAGTGGGCGCAGGAGGGTTGCTGACCGTCTTGCCATACGAATCGACTGCCGTCTGCGGTCTAGGCGCGAGCGTTCCGTCGTAGATCTGCGCATACAGCCCCTTGAACCGGTCGAGATCCTTGGGGTCCGTCCCCGCCTGGATGTCGAGCCGGCGCTTAAAGTCCAGTCCGCGCCTGGACCCGATCTGTGCAACGCGCTGCGGGAAACTATCCTTCTGGACATCCGAACTCGCGTCCATATTGATAATCACATCCACCTGGCGTTCCGGATTCAGCAGGGGCATCGTCGGACAGTTGTTGTCCATGCCCGAGTCGATCAGGTGGATTCGCGGCGAGTTCTCGATACCCTCTGGACGGCCCTGGCCCTTGGGCGTGGGCGTGTAATGGAATAGAAAGTTGTGCTCGTTGCAAGCATGCAGAGGATGATGGTTCTCGAAGATCTCAGTTTCATGGGCACCCCACAGTTTGGCTATGCCAGACGAGATACGGTTGATGGTGTCTCCGATAAGGCCAGTGGGCAAATTGCGTTGGATAGTGGATAGATAACTCGACAGAGGCCCGGCCGGTGCGCTCGTGCACAATCCCAACAAAAGCGCCAAAGATTGTTCGGGTAACTGCAAAGTGGATTTCCCCTCTTCAAACGGCCGCCCAAACCCGAAAGTAGGACACCACTAGTGGATATGAGATTGAATTCCCAAATGAGAGAATGACGTCACCTTGGCCAGTTCATCGCAACCAATCTCAAACGGCGACATCTCAAACCACTGGAACCATGCATCGCTCGCCTCCCTGTGCTCTTTATCCAGATGATTTCCAGTCGCAAACGGGTCACTGCATTCAGCCCTTGGCTAGCACCGGCTGGAGCGTGAAGATGCGAGGTTGATGGGAGGCAGGCACGATCAGTGCCGATCATGGGCCGAGGCCGCTGGTGACGTGGGACCAGGTCACTCCCTCCGGGCACTGGCACGTGGAGATGCGAGCAGGGTGCGAGACCTGGTACGAGGTACCTGGTCCCGGAGCCGGCTGGTCATATCACACGATTCCCCAATATCAGCTTCCAACCAGTTCGGAGCGACAAGTGGCCAGTAGATAGCAAAGACAAGGTGAATCTCGACAAGAACATCCTCTAATTGTAACGTTCCGGGTTGTAAAGCATGCGCCAGAACAGAAACAAGGCGCCCGCAGTGATAATGTGGTATGTGGAAGGTCGTGGGAGCGAGTTTGGGTCGACGTGGGAGCGAGTGGTCGTGATCAGTCAGGAGGTGACTCGTGCCAGTTCGTGCCGTATGGGGCCAGCCGCCTCGTGCCGCACCTGGAACGAATGGTCACGAGGTTCGGCATGAGGTACCTCGCACCCAGACAGGTGCTAGCTAAGGGCTGAATGCAGTGGGTGCTCAGAGTCGACCCAATCTTTCCAAGGCCGTTCGTGACGAATCGCAGTCAAGATCGGAAGAGGCTCAGCACCATTGACCAGTCGCCGCTGGGCTTGGGACCACTTCCACCACGCACGGTGATAGCGGGCAACCTCGGCTGCAGCGGATCCTCCGGGTTTCAATGCGGGATCGGTCTGCATAAACAGATATCCAGTGGTGAACACCGAATACAGATCCATCGCGACGGTATGCAATCCGCTGCGATGCTTCTGAATCAAGGGTCCGAGGGTCTCGTAATCGCCACGTTCAGAGCCGAGTAGTTTCTCCACTGCGGAAGCAGACAGCGGATGATGCGGATACATCCGTTCCTTGCAGTGGTCAATCAGCTTGATAGTATCCCCGTCAGCGAACGTGTAGAGTGCCCCGATGGTCCAACACGAGCCAGAAACACCCGCGACATACGTCAGCAGATCCCACAATCCGCTTTCCTTTGCACCGCGCGTGTATCCGAGTAACGCCAACCTGGCAGCGATGCATCAGCAGATGAAGCGCGGACGACACAAGACAAAGGACCCACATCGCCCGATACCCCCCTCCACTACCTCCCCACGCAACAGTCGGCACGTCGTCTGGGTGAATCGACTCGGCGTCCAGTCCCATGTACCGAGCAAAGTGATTCCGCACATGAACCCTCCGAGCCTGAAGGAACCCGCGCTCTTCCTTGCACAGCTCAGAGCCCTGCCGCACGACCGCAACGTCGCGTATCTCGGGAAATAGTTCAGGGTTGTAGATGTCCTTCGTCACTCGCGACTCGAGCGACAGAAAGTACTCCGCGAGTTCCATGCTCGGCTTGACCTCCTTGGCGAAGTTCTTCAACTTATCCCCCAATGCGGCGAGCCCACTGGCGTGCACCTCAGGGTTTGAAGACGGCGCAAATTGCTGCTTCAGCATCTCGCGTTCGTAGCTGACCTGCTCAGGAGTGTCTTCATCGTAGTACGGCTCGTGGCTGGCTGGATCAATGAGTGTGCATGCTGGCACGTTATATGCGCTCACAAGTATTCTTCTTGCCCAACGTCCGATGCAGTCATGTCCTCAGTACGATCACAAGGCAGGGGTGGTTGAAATGTTTGGGCACATCAGGACGTCGCACTGATTTATGGCCCACGGTCGTCGCACGTGTGTCGAATGCTGTGAGAGGTTGATCATCAGTTACATCGAGCTGCAGTGGTTGTAGGGCTCGGCGAGATTGGATCCCCGCTGCGCGGGGCCAGTGTGAAGGCAAATCAGTCCCACTGAATGTCAGAAAGAATCGCGCGCAAAGCTAGACGATGTCATGGTCACGTGTTCGTGCCATCGGGGTTACATTTCAAACTGTAAGCAGAA